ATCCTGGAGCAAAATTCTCTGGTTTACATTATTTTAAAAAACATAATCAATTCACATTATTTTGTGACCTTCATTAAGTGCTATCAGTAAGTAAATGACTCATTTACATTATTGATAACGGAATAAGTATCAACTTTGGATTGAACTTCAAGAATATATGTAACTGAAATATCAAACAGGAGATTCACTGATACATAAATTGGAGCTATGAATTTTGACTAAGGAACTAGTAAAAGGGATATGTATTTATTGTACAAATCATACAGTGTGAATTTTTAAGCAGCATTTATAAAATAGTACAATATTCTTGGATGAATTTCAAACGACTCTATGAATGAGTCTTAGCTAATAATAAGTTTAGTTTGAACACTTTCATAAGAGGGTAATACATAATGGTTGAAGAAGCTGGATGACAAGGCTTGAAATCAATGATAATGAAGTAGATGATTTCGTTCTTGAAATTTGTTCACCTTGAGAAAATAATCACTTCACTCAGTATTTATCTCATGTTTCAACGGATATCATATGAATAAAAATGGTATTTCATGATTTTAAGGTAATATTAACATTTAGGAGAAAATAAATACAACTTCCCTATTGAGATTGTTGTACAAGTATGTGGAATCACTTGTCCGATTAATTACTTTTATTCTTATAGAAACCCTAATGAATTAAACTACGTATCTTCACACAAATGATGGCAATAAATTAAAGTACCTATGTCACATATATGTTTATTTTTTATTGAAATCTGGAACCGATTGATGTTAGACCACCGTTGGAAACCTGGAATCACTAGACGGCCGTTTTGTCCCATTGTTGGACTCTTCAGCAGTGCGCATCCACGATCCCACTCGCGGGATTCGAACCCAGGGCCTTCAGTCTCGAGAGCGAACGCTTAACCTACTGGACCACTGAGCTAGCATCCAGTGGTGTTAGTGTCTAATATCAACCAATCCACGAAATTGCGCAATCATCTTTCATTGTCTTCGGTAGGTAATTTCTGTATAAATTTACTTACGTTACATAAACTTCAAGTGACATTGAGTGTTATAGTAATCACACATTCAACTGACCTATTAACTATTAAGTTTAGACGTAAAAAGTAGCATTGTAAAGAGGTATCTTGTTGAATAACTAAAATTTCATGATATTACTCAATGTCTGAGATTATCTTCAGAATAACATAAAAGAACAGTGAATTGCATTGTTTATTTACGGGTGATCAGTGTATGTTAAACAATTAACTGCAACCGCTTAATTTTATAGCTCACTGATATCGTTCTTTGCTGTCAAATCGTTTGTGAAACAGGAGGTTCTGCCATAGTTGCAGACAAATGACAAAGCCGAAAAATACAAGTCAGAAGCACTGAACTAGTTCCATACCTAATTGGTGTGAAACGTGTTATCTAACCACTTGCATCAATTATCACACTGTACATTTGGTCTCTAAGGGAACATAATTTTTATCAAATTGACAAACATACTTTCTTCATGAATACTAATAGCCACAAAACATTGGTTCAGGGTTGTTAGTCGTTTGCTTACATTAAGCTTATGAGTATACTCTTCAATGATATTTGACAACTCATAGCTTAATGATCACAGTGTATAATCAATCGATATGACTAGTTACTAAGGCTTAAACTTCATGGAAGAGTTAGAACAAAATTAATGAATCGCTTTATATCTCTCAATAGACTAACATCTATATATTGATTCCGTCAGTTTATCCTGAATTTATCGTTGGAATCATTCTGATGATGATTCCATAAGCGAAAACACCTTGCATTAAAAATGATGATTAAGCTATCTATCGATTAACATTGTTGACAATGAACTTTTTAATTAGAACTTCATCTGATTTTATTTATGCTAATAATTAAATATGATTATTTCACCGATGATTCTATTGACGATATAACTTACCCGTATAGCCTACACAAAATTTGCACATGTTAATAAATTATTAAAATTCCCATGAAAATAACCTCAGATAATTATGTTTTTATTTGATTCATGTTTAGTCGTCGATAGAACAACCGATATATGTATATAATTATAAAGAAATTTTATAGACATTTCATTATTATCAAATCACACAATCTCTAATTTACATTTTCATTCAACCTAGTCATATCTCATTTTATTTTCCAACAAGTTGTGAATTGAGTATACTCAAGTATAAGGATGGTTTTTAAAATACCCAACAAAGACATTACTTCATACAAGTAGATCCATTGATGAATTTAAACAGTGAAAGAAATATAAAGTTTGTGTAATACAATAAATTCATACTATTTCACGGTTTCTCATTGTCTACATACAACTTAAAACTAATAATTATTAATAAATGTTTAGCATATTTTAATTTCGGTAAGTTTAGATAAATGTTTGGAATGTAATTAAAATCATAATCATAAGTAGAATAAGGTAGTTGGTAAGATACCGTAAAATAGACTGATGACTTAATTTTATTCTACAAACCTTGTTGTTCTTAAATTCACTTGGTATTGTTTGCTTGTATCTTTCCGTTGTTGTTTAAGACTGCAATTAAACAATCTCTTATTGGCATATATGCATCCTGTACAGACTGCCTTGATATTGCCTTAAGTCACAAGCTTTATAAGTGAAGATGTTTTTGTTATATTTAAAAAGACATTATTACTCATAATTTATGTCATGTTTGTTCATTCTTTAGTGCTGATCGAATTCTGTCTAGTAAATTGAACTGTAGCTACTAATACAAACCAGTAGACGTCAACATTGGTTACTATTCATGGGTCAGTTAATGTAAGTATCTCAGTCATACAACAAGTCAGCCTAAGCCCAAATAATCTAAGGATAACGTCTCAGATTGTGAGGTTAGGTTACAGGGGATCAAATCCTACAATGAGTAATTAGTTTTGTTAAAATTATGGGTGTGTTTTATTGAAGAGATCCCTATTTTCAGAGTTTCATATTGGCTACCTTCATATACTTAGCATCAAATTTGCCTCTATTTATTGTGATTTAGAATGTTCGATTTAGACTGAAATCACTTGACGTAGTGTAAAAATTAGAAGCACTAATCTTAATTTATTCATTTATTACGACAATAGACCGTATAACAGTGATGATAAAAATAGTATCATCAAGTGAAAAAGATTCCATCTAATTTAAACCAACGAGGTATATATTCATAATTATCCTACTTACTTACTTACATACTTCTGTTGCCCCTCATGGAGAAGCGTAGTCCGCTCACTAGCACTCTCCATTCAATTTTTTCTTGGACAATCCTTTCCAGTTCCTTTCAGTTGCTATTCATCCTTCTCATGTCTACTTTCGATTCGCGATAAAGTGTGTTCTTTGTCCTTCCTACTTTCCGTTTACCTTCAGGATTCCAAGTTAGCGCCTGCTTCGCGATGCAGTTTGACGATTTCCTCGATGTGAATCCTATCCACTTCCAACGTCTTTTCGTAATTTCCTCTTCAGATGGAAGCTGGTTTGTTCTCTCCCACAGTATCTGGCCAATGGATGTTGAGTATCTTGTATAGACAATTGTTTAAAAATACTTATACTTTTTTGATAATGACTCTTGTGGTTCTCGAAGTTTCACCTCTATAAAGTAGAACTGTCTTGACGTTCGTATTGAAAATTATGACTTTGCTGTTGGCTGACAGACAGTTGTTTCGAGTTCCATACGTTCTTCAACTGTAGGAATGCGGCCCTTACTTTTCCTATCCTTGCCTTTACGCCTGCATCATTTCCTTCACGTTCGTCGATGATGCTGTCCAAGTATGTGAGTTTCCATCTGTTTCAGAGTTTCTCCACCAAGTATGATTGGTTTGGTTGGTGTTCTCCATGTTGTATTTGAGGATCTTGGTTTTTCCTTTGTGTATGTTGAGGCCTATTGATGCATATGCTGCTGCCAGATTGTTTGTCTTGACCTGCATTCGTCAGTGTGCATGGGATAGAAGAGCCAGGTTATCTGCTAAGTCCAAATCATTTAGTTGCATCCGACCTATCCATTTTATTCCGTGTTTCCCTTCAGATCTCGAGGTCTTCATAATCCAGTCAAACATCAGAAGAAGAACTCCACCTGTAGCTCTTCTACGACTACTACCGGTCCCAAGCACAGGTAAAGAAGGAGAGTTGGTAATGGGACCGGCAACCTCGACCCGTAAAAAACAACCTTGCTAAAGAACGCTAACCGGAATACACTATTTAAACCATAATATCCTACTTAAAGATAATTTTTGTAGCACTGTCATTATGTGTTTTTAGTACAAATGAATTGTAGATAACAGTGGAGTTCAAGGTGAGCGTTCCGTCCTGTTTGAGACTGGTTTTCTGGATGAACCTATATTCCAGTATTGATTTTAGTGAATGTCTGGACTCAGAAACTTAAAGGATAACGCTTAGAGAGAAAGCTACTGAATTCGAGTTTCAATGTAAACAATCATACTGGGATGCAGGTATATCTAGATGAAAAGTCTCAAATAAAACAAAACGCGCATCTTATATTTCGTTGATAGCCACACCTTGTGGTTTATGTAAAACTTAAAAATTCGATTTTCAGACAATTTTATGGCATAACTATCAGGCCTTTAGTGTGTACTATTGAAAAGTTTCAAACTAGATGAAAACAGTCATCCAGTTCTCATTGATTGTACTTTTTTTTTCAATACATGACGAAAACAACAATCAAATTGGACAACCTACTAAAAACATTATTCTCTTTTTAATACTGATATCAAATTAAAGAATGTGTAGTTCTCATTAAATTTTTCTTTACACCATGGTTAATAGATAATAATCACCAAAAAAAAATAGTTGAGCATACATGAGAAGATAATTATTTTGAAGACATGTAGTTTCGTATATGAATACAGAAAGAGATTGGTATTTAGCCTTTTCTAATCTCAATATATACATGAATTTTATTTTACCTCAATTAAAATTCAATCATAAATTGATTATGATTATTTTTTCATAATTTTCCTAGATCTGTACAAATGAATTTATCTGAACGTGGTTATCATCATTATAACCCATCTACTTCTGAAGAAGCATTAAATCTTCAAATTTCAAATTCTTCTCTTTTACTTAATAAAAATCAAACAAAACGAAATAAATTCAGTATTAATGAATTGATTCAATGTTCAAAGCATCGAACATCTGAGTTGAATTGTTTCAAAAATCAAATCACTGTAAGCAGAATAAATCATGATAATAATAATAATAATAATAATAATAATAATAAGACAAGTTTAATGAATTCTTATCATGCTAATGAACGATCAAATATTGTAAATTCATCAAATCAATTTATAAAATATTCCAATGTAAATATAATCGAAAAAACAGAAAATTTTTGGAGTAGTCCAGAAATGGAAGTATTAAAACATCGTCTTCAGGAACATTTAAATCAAATTAAAAATACAACAATGAATACATCATTATTGACTTATTCAAAAACTGAATTAATCAAGCTTCCAGTAACTGATAAATCAGTAACAATAACATTTAATGATCAAAAACAATCAGTAAATAAAAAGTCTATAGGTAATTCAAATCAGTTAAATGTTAAATATCCATATAACTACTTGGATTTACAAGGTTGTATAAAATCAGAATTAAGTGCATTTCATCCAGTTCCTAGTAGACGAATCCCTTCTGAATATGTTGATGTTAATCCTATGAATATCACTAATACACATACAAAACATTTAAATACAGAAATGTACATGGATAAATTTAATGATCTCTCCGACTCATTTCAACAATCAAAAATAAATCTATTTCATACAAGTTCAACTGAATCACCTGTTTCACAATCAAATGTAATCTATTCTAAACACAATATTACTAATCAAATAGCTCCAAATTCCTTTTTACAATCTTTAGATACACATGATTCACATTATTCTGGACAACTATGTAAACAGTTAAAAACAACTGTATTTAATTCTACCACTGAACACTTGGACAAAATGAAATCAAACATCGTTTCACCAAATATTCCTCAAATTACTGTTCCTGGTATTGATGAAAACAAAAAGTGTCAATTAAAACCACCAATTATATTTTCATCATTCGAAACAACAATAACTACTACTAGTAGTACTACAACTACGACTACTACCACATCTTCTACCTTAGATCAAGGAAAAACACAGAGAAGATCAAATTTCATTAAGAAATGTCAAAAATGTCCGTGTGTTAATTGTCAATTAGCACGCAATATGAAATCCATCGATAGCATTAACAGTAACAATAAGAATACCTTTAATAGTTTCAATGTCGAAACATTAAATTTAGATAACAAAAAATCAATACATAAAGCAGTGCATTTATGTAATTTATGCGGTAAAACATATAGTAAAACAAGTCATTTAAAAGCTCATTTAAGATGGCATAATGATGAAAGACCATTCCGATGTATATATGAATTATGTAGTAAAGCATTTACTAGATCTGATGAATTACAACGTCATATACGTACACATACTGGTGAAAAACGTTTTACATGTATCATATGCAATAAACGTTTTATGCGTAGTGATCATTTAAGTAAACATCGTAAAACACATGAAGTATCAAGAAGTAATCTGTTATAAACAATTGAATAGGAAGATATGCATTTATTTATTTACTTTCTTTTTCAAAATTAACAAATACAATTGTCAAATGCTTCAAACTGGATCATTTTCATCAATTTCAAACTATGTTCTAGAATAGGTATCATTACCAAGGTTTGATTTGATAATTTTGAATAAATTGAGCATTGGGTTAATTATTATAAATAAATAATATATTTTTAATATCCTAATGAGTAAAAAAAAATAGATTTTCTGACGTTTCGTGACTTAGTGTAAACCATTTCTTCGGAAAAAAATAACTAAATTAAAATTAATCCAAGTTTAAATAGTACAATTTGGTTATTTATTCTCTGAAGAAGTTGCTTACACTAAGTTACGAAACATCAGAACATCTAATTTTTCTACTCATTAGGATATTACAAATATATTATTTATTTATATGTTCTATAATGATATCGTCAAAAAGTCATATTAGGAACTATAATATCTATCTATACCTCAATTAGACATATTATTATTTTTTCTTATTCAACTATTTGTTTGTTTTTTAATCATATTATTGTACAAATTATTTTTATATAAATGATTTCAGAACAATTTGTAATTAGTTATTTTGTTTGTTTTTGTTTTAAAGAGAATTCAGGAAATAGTTTGTTTAAATGTTTCGTTTGTGTTAAATATTCAATAATATTTATGCATTGATTACTGTTTGTTTTGTTATTGATTTTATTGAATGAATTATACTTGAATTGTAGCCAGTAGAGGAATAGAAGAAGTATGCTTTAGTTTATTTGACATTCATCATTTGGATATAACTCTACCCTTAATTTATACGAATATTCGTCAAGATTGGGCGCCAAGTATAGAGAAGTCATTATATGTGAAAATTATATTTGAAATTTAAATAATTCCAACGTTTGGTCTAGCTAACTTGTCTGGACTTCTTCAGGGTGAGTTAGTTGGATGAAACGTTGGAATTATTTAAATTTCAATCGCTGAGATTATTTCAAATATAAATTTCACATATCTATTCTTAATGTTGATATACATCACAATATTTAAATCTTATGCGTATCGTTTCAAACCTCAATGCTTTTTCTTTTTCGTTTAATTATGAAGTTCAGATATAATGCAATATCGATGCAATTTGATCAGGGCATTTATGTAACAATAGAGATAATTTAGTTCCAGTCCTGAATAATGACACTTAGATTATAAAGTCTTAATAATAAATTTATAATTCATACTCACTGATTGACGTTAAAAGAGTGATTGGTTGTTAGTCACTGATGCACTTTAAAAGAAAAATCCAAGAATAATTAACAATTAATTTACTCTAGTTTAGAACTGATGATTAATAGGTCACTCTTAAAACATTAAACAATAGTCAACAGTCAGGAACTTGAAGTTTTGTATAACGAGTATAATTAAACTCAAAATATCTTCCAAATTAATTATCTTATTTTATCAACTGAGCTCTACTCATTTTATTCCTATCAATGTTTACTTGTTTCTAGCCGTTTGAACTGTTGTCACAATGAATGTTGTAGAATGCTCTTTTACATAAGTTATATATTTACAATATTCAGTCTATTGATTTTATTTACACCCTTGCTATACTACACTAACATGTCTTCAATATAACTTCCAACTAAACCCTTTCATGTAGGTAATTTAAACCCATTATGTAATTTTAATTTTAAATATCACAGGTTGTAAGCAGCTGATGAGAACCAACGAAATAAAAATGAATTCATACTATTCTGCTAGAATGTTTGTTCTTGCTCTTTTCAAAATATTCAATTGAAATCTAATGGTCAGCATTTTCAAAATTCAATAGATTTACACCATATTGTAATTTTTAACAAATCCTAATACTGTATAACTTTCACTTACTTCCTAACTGACTGAATTCATTGATTTTGAACTTTATCTAGAGCTTGTTTTCATGTTTTCTTTTAGCATTATTTACCCTTTAGTTTTATTTTACTGTACTATACAATTAAATGTAATAAATATGTTAAGTATACTAGACAGTTTTAAGTTTATGAGTTAGTGAAACAAATCACCTCTTACCATATATATAAATAAGCTTGACGAGAAAATATTCAAAAATTGGATGATAACTAAAATCCATTTATTTTCTAGTAACTATAACAACAGTCCTGTTTATATTTGTTTATACATAAGCACATTTGTAATAATCACATACTTCAAAATAGATGTATCTTAAATTTTTTATTTTCATCTAATTATACAAATATCACACTTATGACATAAAATAAAAATGGCTGATAAATTTTAGGTCAATTTATATTTTTTGTACATGTAAAACAGTCGACATTTAATGAGCTGTTACTCAATTCAAAATTACGTAATATAAACGGTGTTAAAAATATACAAAATAATCACTAAGACAATTTTAACGAAAAAAAAAAAAATGCATAGAATAATGAACTTTAAATAAAGAAATTATTGAATAATTTTAAATAAATTTGTTCAAAATACAATAAATTTTTTTTAAAGAAATCGCTAAGTGAAAATTTCATAAATAAATAAATAAACCAGGGACTATATAAATGATTTCTCCTGATAGAGTTGGATAAGAAGTGCTAGTGGGTAGCCTATGCTCCCACACGAGGGGTAACAGGCATAAGTGAGTAAGTAAGTAAGTATATAAATAATTAATTTGTTATATAATTAGTTAGAGAGGTTTTATGGTAATAATCTTGATTTGTAAATGATATTCTTCATGGATTGATTTCAGTTGAAGCACTATTAAAATCAAGAAACATAGGACAACTCTTTTTACACTCTAGTGTAGAATTTCATACTATGATGAAACAGCCGTATAGTTCTCCGTCGTTTTCGAAAATACTGAAAGTGTAGATGATCTACAATGGATAATACCTCGTTGGAAGTTAAAACTTAGTTGTATGAAATAACGCTGTAGTATAGTATATTTGATTATAACACATTAAAGAGTCTTAAATAAAATATTGAATACAAATGTCAAAACAGTTCTACTCTTGGTCAAAATCGCTCTTTATTATGTATAATTAAGAAGATTACGACTACTTATATTTATCATTAGTTAACCAACTCCCAAATGCCCTGGTACGGCCGAGAGTGGGGAGAGTCCGCTCTCCCTATCCAAATGCTCTCACGCGGCCTCGTTCATACAACTACTGCCAGGGAAGTCCTACTCACTACCTTCTCGTGGCGGGGGTGTTTTATATGAAATTGAGAGGACGAAAAGTGAATGACCAGCCCTTTGACCTGGTTGGTGAACACGAAGCGTTCACCTAGGGGGTGTTGGAAAACCCTAATTTCATATTAATGGTGCATATGGGCTCCACGATCCTGAAGGAAAAATAGCGTATGAACCAATCGTTGGTCACCGGCTACCATGAGACTGCATCTTCTGACGTTGCTTCACTGCCTTGTGGATTGTATCTTTAGGTCGAAGGCTCCAGATGTGGCCCCTTAGGAAAACAACCTGCTTCGGTTTTGGCACCCGGGCAGTATCCCAGTCCTCACACAAATCGGATGATTTATATGGCGCATATTTGTTTGGTGGCTCCTTTTATCAATGTTTATATGTTTAAATAAATAAATAATAAACAAAGAAATAAATCAGTTAACCGCAGCACGAATCAACATATTTTTAGTAACAAATATTCGTTTGAACCTCCCATATATTTATTTCAGTCAGATGTTTTCTTATTCAATATAATATGTATTGAAGTAAAGTACAGAAAAACATATTTCACTTAATATAATGGGTGTACGGAGATTTTTTGAATTCACAGTTAACATCACAGACTGATCTTAACAAAAGAGCTATTGAAAACCAGGAAACACTAGATAGCTGTTTCTTCCTAGTATATGACTCCTCAGTAACGCACATTCAACAGCCAACCACCGGGGATAAACGATAGGATTTTTGGTCATGCAAAGAAATAGAGCAAAAATAACAAGATTTGTAGAGTAAAATGAACTTTATCTCACGATTTCACATCAACTACAAGCAGTCTAAAATTACAAGGAGTATTATGATTCTGAACAAAATTTACTTAGATCGAGTTATTGATGACTAACATATGAACTACTTATTTGATATCATTTTATTCAACACAGTAGTATATATATTGTGTTAAACCAATAAAAACATTTTACTTCATATGTTGCAAACACTAATGTTATGTTCAGTATAAGGATTTGTGGAGATTTCAGTATTTTAACAGTTGAATTCACGAGTCAACTTAAACTAGACTATTATTGAAAACCTGGAAGGACTAAACGGACATTTCGTCTTAGTACGGGATTGCACGGTTGTGCACATGCATGATCCCACGTGTGAGACTCGAATTCAGGACCTTCGGTCTCGCATATAAACGCTTAACCTTTAGACCACTGAGCCGGCATCCGACGGTGTTGATTTCTACCTTCAATCGATCCACGATCTTACGCAACCCTTTGTCCATACTGATAATAACTATGTAAATAGCTTCAAGATGGATTTTATGGAGTTCTTGTAACAAACCGTGACCAATGAAGTTCAATCCGAGTGAGACATCCGACTAAAATTTGCGAAGACATCTGACAGCAAAGTACTACGAGACTATATTATATTCATTAACCTTACTCTTTTAATCAATATATTTTGTACATGTATAAAATACTGTCTAATTATTAATTGTTGATAGTAATATTATAAATATCATTGTCAGATTGGCTTTGAATTGATTTCAGCTAAAATAACAACAAGACATCATGACATTATCTAAAAATTTACCAAATATTTTACTACAGGATTACATCATAACTTTACGTTACTCTCTTAAAGTAGTGTAATAGATTTAAATACAAATTAGTTTAGCTCTTTGTACAGAAATTGTTTTTTGCAATGTTTACTTATAGTGTCACAGTTTAAAAAAAATACTTTTACCAGTTGTAGATGCCACTGGATATATGCCTCAAACAATTTACAAACTTATCTGTTTATTTCCTCCAGA